AACTGATGTTATAAAAACCACCAAAAATTTCTAGCGACGAGCATTGATCAGTGTGAAAGGTTGTTAAAATATTTCGTTGTTCACCTTTGAAAAATGAAGTGCTTCAAAAATATGTGAAGCAAGATCGTAAAAAAAAGTTAAAACTTGTGTTAGATTCAAAAAGTAGATAAGGCAGTTTGTTGTTCATGTTAGATTGTTTAAATGTTTTAAAATCTTTATTAAAGAAAGCACTAATTAATATCAATGCAGACAGTAAAATTAGTAGAAAGGATGCAATTACTTGGTCTATTAAAAAGTGTACTGAATACTTCCTGTGCTTTGAGTCAAGTTTTTTAACAAATCCAATAATGAGTAAAAAGGTACCAAAAACTATAAAACACAAAATACCATCGTCATCACCAAGTTCTCTAAATCTATCATTCACTAATATTTGTGGTCTTCAAAGTAATTTTTTTTCTCTTGAGTTTTATCACTTGCATAGTTCAACAGACCTACTTGGTCTTTGTGAAACAAATTTGAGTTCAGCTGTCTCATCTTGTGATCTTAATCTTAATGGTTATCTTTCTTTAGCTAGTAAAGACTACAATAGTCACATAATTGGCCTGAAAATTTACATTTGTAAGAATTCACTTATTTGATCTGACTACCTAACTACCTAACCATTAGTATTCTTGCAATCATAAGCCAGGTTTCTAAGTCTTTAATTAACAAACACTTAATCTCTCATCTTGAATCTAATAATTTACTTTCTGATCATTAATATGGATTGCAATCTTCTCATTACATTGCTGATTTGTTAACAATAGATTTTATCATGCATTAGATAGATGTGGAGACTAGGGCTATTGCTATCAACATTTCTAAAGCCTTTGTTAAAGTTTGGTATGCTGGCCTACTCCATAAGCTCTATTTTAAAAATGTATCAGGTAACATCTTTAAAATTATTATATCCTTCCTTACCAATCATAGTATAAAAGTTGTCCTTGATGGACAGTACTCTTCTTTAATTCCTATAACTTCAGGAGTTCTTCAGGTTCTATTCTCAGCTCTATATTCTTTTTAATTTACATTAATGATCATCCAGATATTCTCACATCTAAGGTGGCATTGTTTGTTGATAATACTACCATTTATTCTTGTCTTGATAAGAAAGTAACACTCTCTGATTGCTTGAAGGGGGCAATTTTTTTATTAGTTTATAATAAAAAACCTTTTTAAAAATATCATGAAAACCAAAACATTTAAGGATTTAAATTACATATTTATAAAAATATCATTATATTTATACAAATACAAATATTTGTAAAGTTATAAATTTATAAAGTTGATTATTATAAAAATTAAAATGCTTATAATAAACAAAGTAATAATAAATCTTTAAAATAATTTTCAATACCTTGATAGTTAGAGAATTGTTTTTCTGTAATTAAATACCAATGTAGCCATTCTTCAATTGTATATTTAAGAAAAGTCCATAAAAAATATGATACAGCAACTAGCACGAAAAACTCACTTTTAAATAATAGTCTTAAGCTTGAACCATGATTTGCCACTTTAGAGACAGATGTAGAGTTTTTATGCTCTAATAAAACATTCTTTTTAACATAAACAGGATCATCAATCATGCAACTATAAACCACAAATGATAAAGCACATGAAGTCAACCCAAAAAGAACAAAGCTTAACCGCCATGTAAATGATTCTGCCAAAAATGTAACAAGAAGAGGTATAATACTTACACTAATATTCATAGATGTTGAAAGTAATGACCAAACTGTACCTGACTAAAGATATTTATGATAAATAAAGACCTAGATAAGTTGATTAACATAAAAAATCTGTGAAAACAATTAGAATCTAACTTCTTCAGAAGAATACCATTTTTTCACCAAAACAGCTATTGATTGCCATCCACATCCCTGGAAAAATCCATTAAATGCCCAACAAAAGATAAAACTATATTTCACATAGCAAAGTGAAAAAAGTATATTCGAAAATCCACATAAAAAAAGTCCACAGGCAAATATAAGCTTTGGACTGTACTTGTCAGATAAGGCTCCAAATAGAATTTGACCGAATGTATAAAGTAACTTTTGTACACTCGCAAGCATTCCAAAATCAAAGCTTGTCAATGATATCTCTTTATCGTTCAGCATAAAAGACATTGAATATGTGCAACTCTTTCTCACAATGTAGTATGTAAAATATCCAATAAACATATTAATAAACATCACTTTTTTCTGAATTCTATAATCTCCATTTAGAAAAGCCATAACTTCATATACTTCTTAAATTATTAGAACTCTCAATTGAACAGTGTTTTTAAAAGTACTTTAGTTATCTTCTAACGAACTAACCAGAACAATGTTTTATTTAGACTTATTCAGCGGAAAAGAAAAGTTATTTTAAAAATGTAATGTAATTTAAATTTATAATACAGATATCTTTTAAATTACTGAAAACTCATGTTGTTAATTAGTGTTATTACGACTACTAAATAACTGTCGGCTAAATCTTTTCTAAAGTCGTTTAGTCGTAAGTCGTAAAGACTTTTTCGACTAAAAGTCGATTTAGTCGAAATAATTAAATAATTTTTTTTTCTTTCTCAAAATTGTTATAAAAAAGATAAATTAATTTAAATTCGCTTTCTATTTTTTAACATCATATTATTTAAATATTAATAGAGTAAATAAAACAAAACAAAAAAAAGACAATATTAGAGAAGGGCCGTTTCAACAACGGGACAATTTATTCCTAGATCTCGACTGGCTTAAATACTTGCTATATATCAAAGTCTTTACAATCATACCTAGGGCCGGCGCGGTGCCATTACATTTTGCCGGGGGTGCCATTACATTTTGCCGACTAAAAAAAAAAAAGGTCCTCGTTTTCCAAAATTTGCCGACTGCCATGACGACATTTGCCGACTGTATAGATTACCGACTAACCTATATCGAAAGGGTCGACATTTGCCGACTAACTAGTCTAAAAGGGTCCAATTTGCCGACTAAGGGTCCAGTTTGCCGACTAAAAATCATTGTAGGGGGGGGGGGGGGGGTTGGAGTGTCACATCCCCTCACCCCCCTATCGCGCCGGCCTTGATCATACCGATGGGTTAATTCTAAATTCTAAAACATCAAATGTCCAAATTTGGGCTACATTGATTTATTATTATTATCGTTATTATTATTATTGTTATTATTTATTATTATTTAAACTTAATTACAGTTGAACAACTTTGCCTTTATAATTACAATCACTTTATAATTTATATACTAAAACCAGTAAACTTTTTTTTTTTTTTTGTTCTTTCATTCCAGTTCCTCTTCCATTGCTTAAGTAGTATATGCCAATGGCATAACGCGATAGATATATTAAGAGACAACTTCGTTAAATATATTCACCCCTATAATATAGAAGCCTTTACTTCCTTGTTGGTTTGCCGCTTTTTTAACAATAAGGTTTGAGTCACCGTTGAATTTAAACATGTTAGCCATCGATGGATGACATACTCCCGACAACGCCGACTTGACTACTTTTGTTGCATGAACATTTCTTCTCTCCCCCAAGGATCACAGCTTTAGTTCGTCCAAAAGAGGAGCCGAATGAGTGTTTCTAAGTTCATGACAGATGATACGGGCACACTGCTTTTGTATTACGTCACGAGGCTTGACGTTTTGGATTGACCAAGGTATAATATGCTGGACTAGTTGCGCTTTGGATCGACCAAGGTATAATATGGTGGCATATTCTAATTGACTCCGTAAAAGTCCTTTATACGCTATATTTAAAAGTTCCCTCGGAAGCCTGACAGATGCTTCAGTTACGAATGTTGAAATGTCGATCTTTGATGAACGGAGATAAATACAAATATTATACACAGAAAAGTTGAAGCAATGCCATAAAACAACAGTTATAATATGTTTTTAAATATTTGAATTTGTATTCGAGTTTAAGCTTTTAAAATATTTTTTCTCGCAACTGTCTAAAATGGATATACAATGTTTCAGAATTAACCCATCGATATTTACAATGTGATTGTATAGATGACATATAGATTGAAGCTTTACAACTTAACTATGCTAACGGTGTTATATTCTTCTTTCATTTTCGTTGAGTGAGCAATTGGTATTGAACCAAATTTGTTTCCATTGTGAAAAAGAACACATTTCAAACTTCGCTTTGAGCTATCAATAGATAGACGCCAATCATCTTGAAAATATTCAGGAAGACCCATTTTTCATGGAGTTCTCTGATTTTGTGACAAAACGCAAGATCCTCTTCTTTTAAAAAAAGGGTTGCTGATCCTTTTCTCGTGTTCAGTAAAAAGTAATTTTGATTCTTTGTTCGTGTAAATTTTTGTCCTTCAACCTAGAAGCAAGTAACTTAAAAGCTCCTTTTGACTGGTTGAGATCTCTAGAGGTCATTCAACCAGAGCCGTACCTACTAATAGGCAAACCAGGTAGCTGCCTGGGGCCCCCAACCTCCAAGGGACCCCGAAGGGCCTTGAAACATTTTCAAAATTTTAAAACAAAACAAAAAACCTTAAAATTTAAAATGTAATTACACCAAATATTCGTCCAATTTTACAGTAAATGTCTTTGAAGCGGAGACCATTACAGCATTGCTCAATGTAGTACTATGCTCGTGCTCTTCTTTGTGCATTAATACTGCTCATTCTTGGGCAAAATTGGAGAGAGCGGCGCGGCGTCTATTACTCTCAGTACGTCCGTGATACACCCAATGATAAAGAAAATGTCGAAAATTGTGTAATGTAATGATTTGTATTAAAATCTGTAGACTTTGAGAATGAGTCAAAATTATGCAAGTGGATTTAGCAAACGAAAAGAAAGCAAGAAAATTAAAAAATATTGAATTTTTGTCAAAAATTAGTTCATATTTCACCCGACTACAACACGAAAATCAAGTTTAGCCAATTTAAGAATCTCTAACATGGACATTTGATTATGCAGTAGCAATTAATGAAAATGGTAAGAATAATATTTTTGTGCCAAATCCTTCGGCAGAACTTTTATCAATTAAAACATCAAAGGAACTGACACAAATATTTCTGAGGTTGAGCTTCACGAGATTTCTTCAGATCCTGCAGACTGGCCCGATGATTTGTCCCATCTTCGAAAACAATTAGTTCTATCAGGACCAATACCAGTAAAGGATTATGCTTTCGCAAAAAGTTGCTTTTCTAATTCCAAAGCAACATAAAGATTTTGTCCTTCAAACTACAATAGATTCCTGACAAATAATCCTAACAAATAATCAAGCCATAACAAGATCATAACTTGTATACTCCAAAAAAGCAAATGCTGTATACTGTTTTTGCTGCAAGTTGTTTAGTGCCGATAAACAAAAGCTTAGTACCAGTGGCTTTTGTGATTGGAAAAATATTTATTCCATGCTAAGTGAGTATGATTGTTCACATGAGCACAACAAATTCTAGATAAAATGGAAGAAACTGGAATCAAACAATACAATGGATCAATAGAATCAGAGTATCTCTCAGCAAGAACAGCAATACTGGCGATCAGTAATTGAGAGAATTGTGGGAGTTATTCAATATTTAGGAAAAGTTTAGCTTTTCAATAGAATCAGAGTATCTCTCAGCAAGAACAGCAATACTGGCGATCAGTAATTGAGAGAATTGTGGGAGTTATTCAATATTTAGGAAAAGTTTAGCTTTTCGTGGCAGTGAGGAAAAGCTTTTTGCCCATGTGAATGGAAACTTTCTTGACCTAGTGGAGTTATTGGTAAAGTTTGATGGTGTCATGCAGGAGCATGTTTGTCAAGTAACCAACATAGAAGAAGCCATACATGTGATATTGACAGCCAAGAACTTTTTGCGGAAATTTCGAATATTATCAACTTACTACCGGTTGATGTGACATCACCAAATGAAGTACTTTAATATATTACCAGGAAAAATATGACAGAGCTATACCCTTACCTTTGTATAGCACTATTGCTACAGGGAAAAGATCTTTCTCCAAGCTGAAACTAATTGAGTCATATTTAAGGACCACCATGTTACAAGAGCAATTCAATGGGCTGGCATTACTGAGCATTGAGCATGAGATAAGCACAAGTCTAAAGTACGAGGAAATGATAAGAGAGTTTGCAATAATTAAGGCCAGAAAGATTTTATTGTAGAATTGGAAAAATAAATCAAGTTGCGAAAAGTTTTTTTTGAAATACAGTTAACTGACGATTCTATGAAATGATTTCCTACATTGTAATAATATGCATTAAAATTGGTAAAAAAAAAATTATGGTTGGGGGTCCACAAGAAAGTCCACTTAGGGTCTCCGCGGGATTGCATTCAATTAATCTTGGTTGAAACGTTGTGGATTTGATAACACCTCCTTATAATCACTCTCACTTTCATTACTGATTAGAAAGTAATGGTAGCTGGAGAAACGTTGGGAATGGACTTCCTCTGAGTGAAGAACCGGTCCTCTTTCAGAGACTAAATTAGGATAAGTCCACTTGCTAAGGTTGTACTGATTGATTCCAGTATAATTCATTTTAATGATTTACTTGGGATGCCGAATTTCATACCTTTTTTTTCCCAATAGTCTACTGTCGTAAATTCTGTTACAAGCTCTGTATAAGTTTTACAGACATGATGTGATGCCCAGGTTTTATCTTGATCACCAAGTTTAACACCAAAGTATCCAAGATACAAAGCCACTGACTGTTTTATGTCTTCTTTTAACATATATTCTCCGGATATGTAGCAAAACAAATCAGGATGGTTCACATCTTCTACTTGAACTCATTTTATCTAGATATTTCATCGAAAAATACAAATAAATCTAAAACACAGTACGTTTTGGGTTAACTTAACAAAAAAACGTTTTGAAAAAGAAATATTACAAAACACAGACTTTCTGCACGGCAACAACTCACATACTAATCTTAATTGTAATTGATGGTCACTTCATTTACAGTACTCCATCATATGGGGAGTACGTAAATGAAGTGACCATTCTGAATACACCTTCCACGTTGATTTCTTTTAGAAGAATATTTTCAATTTGAAGAAGGGCTAGATCTTACAGTCGTTTGTCCTCGTTTAGATCTGTCACAATTTTGCACCCTTTTTCAAAGTTGAAAAAGACTTACAGAATAATAACTCAAAGTTTTCCAGTATAACTTGTAACAGCATCAGAAAGAAATATCCTTTAAACAACCTTAACATGAAGGAATGTGAATTCAAGTTTGAAATTTAAATTCTTTGATTGAATAACCAAAATTAAATTCAGATGTTTTGGTTTATTGATTTCATTAGTACCAAATTTAATTAAAGCGAGAGCAAAGCTCTTGAAACGCAGACATTCTTTTGAAAAACAAATGATCGCATTGTTTAGGCAGATTTTTAAAAGTTCTAAGGCGTGCAATTTGATTGCAATAGAATCTATATCTGAAAGACGGATGACAAGCCGTCTTTCAGATATAGATTCTGTTAACTCATGGAAACAGACA